GGCAAATAAAAAAAAAGTAATACGCCACACTAACAGAATCAAACTCAAACATCACTTAATCATTTCAATAGATGAGAAATGCATTTGATAAAACTCAATATCCCTTCATCATAAAAACTTTCTACAAATAAGACATGATGGAGTATACTTCAACACAATACAGGCCATATATGACAAACCCACAGGTAATGTCATACTAAATAAAAAATTGAAAGCTTTTAAAAAATAAGATCTGCATTGGGGCCAGGGATTTAGCTCAGTGGTTCCAGCACCTGCCTTGCAGCGCAAGGACCTGAGTTCGATCGCCAGTACCAAAAAAAAGAAAGAAAGGAAGAAAAATAAGATCTGCAGCAAGACGGGGTGCCCACTATTTTTTTTGGGGATTGAGGATTGAACTCAGGACCTTGTGTTTGTGAGGGAGGAGGCGGCACCACTGAGTGCATCTTGGGCCCAAGGGTGCCCACTTTTAACACTTATATTTAACGTAGTACTTAAGGTCCTAGCCAGAGCAATTAGGCAAAGAGGAAAAAAAAATGCATTCAAATTATAAAAGATGAGGTCATATTGTCCTTGTTTACAAATGATACGATCTTCTTTGTAGAAAACCCAAAAGTCTCCACTAATAAACTATTAGAACAAACAAATTTAATAAAATTGTAGGATACAAAGTCAACAGACAAGAATCATAGCATTTTTGTACTCTTATAGTAAGCTACCTAACAAGGAAATCAAGAGAACAATTTCATTCAAAATAGCTGTAAAAAGATTTCTAAAAACCTAGAAATATATCTAGCCAAAGAGGAAAAATACCTCTACAATGAAAACTGCAAAACACTGATGGAAAAAATGGAAGAGGAGCCATGTGTAGCAGTGTACTCATGTAAACCCAGTACTCTGCAGGCTGAGGGAGGATTATCTATATGAGTTCGAGACCAGCCTGGGCTACATGGTCAATTCAAGGCCAACCTGAATTATATACCAAGAGTCTATCTCATCTATTCCAAAATAAAAGAAATGGAAGAAGATAAAAAGAAGTGGAAAGATATTCCGTGTTCTTGCATTGGAAGAATTCATATTGTTAAAATAAATATATGGTTCAATGAACTTGGATCATGTAGAGGTTCCAATGTCGTTTAGTCTTGTTCAGTCCATTTTATTATCTCACTTGAAAGCCAGTATTGTATTCTTTGGCATAAAGCTATATATACATATAATCAAATAATGTGTACTTATATTAGCTGTGTGTCTTGATAGTCCATCTCATACTTAATGTTGAAAGACAACATTGTGGAGTGTCTACATTTATGGAACCCCATATCCAGTAGGGATCTTCAGCCTATTTTTTATACTGCATGATCATACTGCAGAAAATCAGATAGGCTTTGTAGGATAGGTACCCTGAAGGTAAATATCTCATTATTCCAGGGTGTATTTTTCTGTTTACTGACTGATTTGAAAGGATATGTTTTGTGATTTGTAAAAGAATGAGCAAAATAAAAACACATAAAATAATAAATTCTCATTTTAAAAATTTGGAAAATAGGGAAAGAATGAAAATATATATCACTAAAGATCCACATATAACCATGATATATATTTTCTGTACTTATCACCAGCCTTATGCATCCATTGTCTATTTTTTGTATCTAAATATATTCAGAGAGAGAGAGAGAGAGAGAGAGAGAGAGAGAGAGAGAGATAGGAACTCCAAGATACATATAATTCTGTTTTCTACCCTTTCTCCTACTAAAAAATGCTAATAGGCATTTTTAGTGACTAGTTTGAACTACCATTTCAATAACTGCATAATGTTCCATCATGATTATGTGATATCATTATTTAACCATTCCTGCACATTTAGGATAATTTCAAAATTTTCCTATAATAAATATAATAATTGGAATATTTATACTGAATAATTTATTCATTTGTCAAATAATTTTACTTAGATAAACAGAAACATAATTACCAGGAGGTTGTGTATGCATATGCCCTCAAGCAAAACCAGATCAATTCATAAAACCACAAGCAGCTTATGAGTGCTCATCTCATTACGTCCTTGCCAGACCTATTTCAGCCTTGATGGACTTATTGGGTGCTTCTATTCCCTTTTTATATCTTCTTGGGTTGCTATTTCTCTTAAGATGTTATCATTTATCATATTGATTTGCTTGAACTTTTGTGGAGAATTTTTTACTATTTGTCATATTCATGGCAATCTTTGTCAATTATTTTTTATCTTTGAAATTATAAAAGTATTTTTGATATTCATATATTTTATACAACTTAACTATCATTTTTTCTATCACTTCATTTTGCTAAAATTCAAAAATAATTCCTTCATTTTTGTCACTTATTATTGTAGTAGTTATTTTATATTGATTACCTTTATCTATGTGTATATGTATATGCATGTGCACTTGTGTAGGTGTGTAGAACACTTGAGCCCTTATTTTATAAGATTCCAAGTATGGTAAAATATTTCTAATGTTTTCCTTGGCATGGGGTTGACAAATCATATCACGCATCTTATATGCATATCAGCTACTTAAATCTAGCAGCTCTAGTATTTTTCTCAAAAGTAATGCAGAGTGCTGAGTTGAAATAGTTTCAATAAAAAGCACTTACATTAAATTTTTCATAATTTTGTTGAATTTATTTAAATATGATTTGGTCATTCATTTCACACTGGCTTTCTTCTCTACTGTCCATATTCCTTCTTTTTCCCTTACTCTTGCACACCTTCTTCCCCATAGCATTTTAAATTCTCTTTCCTCCTGGTCTTTTATGTCTTTTGTTATTTGACTATTACTTTGTGACATCTAAAATATTTCTTCTAACAAATGCTAAGCTCTTACTACAACAAATAATCCTGATAAATTATTGCTTTTATTTTCCCTATAACTTTTAAAGGTTAATGTGAAAATGATTCATGGAATTCTTTCTCTCTCCCACATATCATTTATTGAGTAAAACACTTTAGTATTTTGTGACTCCATCTTCCAGGATCAAGTTTTGTAGGATGCAATGACATCAGTGTCCCTGAATTTCATCCTATGTAAGAGAAGTCCATCTCATATTAAGCTAAGAAAGAAAAACTCAGTCTTTTTTGAATGGGAAAAAAATGTCTTCAAATTCTCCCATGATCCTGAGTCATACTTGCAGAAAATGAGCTTTTGCCACTGGAGACTACCATGAGGACAATTTCTAAGTAATTTTTTCTTCTGCCTGTGTCATTACACTATGCAGAATGGAAAAGCATTGGTCAGTTTGGGACTTTCAATTTAGCCTCAAATGGCACAAAGCAATGAGACATCAATTGCCTACCCTTCAATAAGTTATTGCTCAGGAACCAAGCCTTTTACAACCATTCATGTGAACTGTCTATGCATAAAGTATACATTTTGGGGGAGGATATTTACATTGTTATTCTCAAATGAAGTGATTATGTTATGTTTGCTGCACTAAATGCACACATTCTGAAGTGTTTGCATAAAAGCTTTGACTTTAAAATGTAACTGGTCTTTTGGAAGTGATTCTGATATTTAAAAGTCTGTAAAGATATGTAGTACATGCCACTTTGCTGTTGTGACATATTCAAAATACTTTGCTGGGTAAGGAGATCTCAGAAAGTCATGGTTAAGAGCTCCAACTACTTTGCTGGATCATTCTGGAGAAAACAATTTATGATTCTGGGAGACTATTCAACATTTCTCCAAGTGCTCTCAATTCCAAATTAAATTTCTGTTGCCTGGGAACAGCTGCCTCTGTGTCACTTAATTGTAGCCCCTCAAATTGACACACATTATTGTGGCTGTTTTTTGTTTTTTAACTTCAGTTGGGTAAGCGCAGATAGAAGAAATCTTATCTAACCTGTCACCATTTTCCTTCATCACTTTCAAATGATGAAGATGAAGGCAGAACATAGATAAGTGAAGGCCTCTTAAAATGATTGTTGCCGGGGGCACATTGGCACACATCTGTGATCCCAGCCCTTGGGAGGCTGAGGCAGGATGATTACCTTGAGTTTGAGGGCAGTATGGGTTGCATAGTGAGTGCAAGGCCAGCCTGAACTATATAACAAAACCTTGTCTCAAAAAAAAAAAAAAAACCCACACAAACAAACAAAAACAATTTTTGAAGATTGCCCAGAAGATTTGTCAAATTTCTCAAAGCTTTACCTTCCACTACGTATTTGGCAAATGGGTTTAGTGATCCATAATCCTATAATCCCAGCATTCTGGGAAGCTGAAGGATGAAGATCACAAGTTTGAGCCCAGTCTGGGAAGTAGGGACTTAATGAGACACTATCTCAAATATCAATCAATCAATCAATCAATCAATCAATCAGTTGGGAATGTAGCTTAGTGTAAAGACATTGGCTTCAAATTCCCCAGTATTGCAATCAATTAATCAACAAAAATCCATCCTGTTAATTATTTGCTGTAAATTGCCTCAAAATTTTCATTCATTTTTGACTAAACTCATATGTGAACGAAAGGTACATTTTCAAGAAAACATTTTGTGCATATCTAATCTATGTTTGTATAGTTTTCACTGCAATTATAAATGTGCTGAAAATTGTACAGCAGGTTTAGGATAGTTTTTTTCCCTATAGGGTGGAAACTATAAGTTGTGCTACTTCAAGTCTAGAGTACATTTATGCAAAGGTTACTGAGCTGATCATCAAAAGACAATTCATCTTTGGGTAATTGGCAGCTGCAGGAAATTGATGAGGCTTTTATTTTGCAGTTGCACCTGATATAGACTCACCATGTCTATGTGAAGAAATGAAATTCTTCTCTGCCCTTCTGAGGGCCAGAATAACATCACCTGGCCTCTGTAACTGCTCTGTGGAGCAGAGAGATGGTCTCACAGCTGTCTGCTCCCTTCCTAGTTGAAAAATGATTTTAAAGAGGAAAAGAGGCCTTGTTTGCCATGGGGCATTGTGCTCCAGTGTGTGTTTATTCCTGTTAATTTAATTTTCTTTGTCCTTTTAGAGGCTCTGTGAATGCTCACGGATATAGGGATGGCTTAACCGTGGGAGATAATGTGTCATGACAAAGTATTCTTTCTGAAGACCCTTTCATCACTTATATGGCTGCTGCCAAGAACAGATACCAGGACAAAGACCTACAAATTGGCCAATGATATCTGTAAGATTAAGCATAGCTTTGTTAACTCAGGTGTTATCTAACATTACTTAAGAATTCATTTTCCTCTATTTCTCTTTTCCTTATTATTTCCTTTCCATTCCCATTACAGATGGTTGGAACATTATATTTTTCTAGTAGTATCTGAGAGCATTGGGAAAGCCTTGGATTTGAAAAGTGCTCCAAGAAGGTGAGCCTGCTTCATAGTGGTGACAGTGGAGGACAGGTGAGTACATTCAATATTCTTCTTTAGTCAGAAGGATTCCTGCTCCTCTATTATTCACACTTGAGGCTTTTACTTAAGTGGTTATGTAAAGCATGTGAAAAAAATTTAAAAATCAGCCAATAGGAAGGATTAAGTACACATAAATCACTTGCTGGCTGGACTGGATGGTGTTTGTGCGTGCTTGAATGTGTGTACACAGATGTATGGTAGACAAGGGTGTGTGGGGTTAGTGAGGAGAAGTACACATGTCTGCATTCACCCAAGAGCTATGTCAACTTGAACATCCTAACCCCAGATTCAGACATGAATGTGCATGTGTCTGTGTGGCGAGAGAGAGAGAGAGAGAGAGAGAGAGAGAGAGAGAGAGAGAATATGAGAATGTGAGTGTGCTGGAGAAGTACATGGAGCAGAATAGAGTACAGAGGGGGAATGTGAATGGCCAGACAGACTCAAAGGGTTTGGGAGTATTCTGTGGGGCTTCCCATATTCTATTAAGAGAGGGGAGTCAGAGAGCAGAATGGCTTGCCTATCATCTGTGGAATTCGACACTGGACAGAAAGAAAGACATAGCCTGTATATAAGGGTTGTGGAAATGGAATATAGCAAATGTGGGGAAGGCAATTTAATTATAGGGAGATAAATAATGATGGTGGAAGCTACACTGGTTTTACAAAATCCCTGCAATACATGGTTGGAAAGGAAATCAGAAAGAGGGAAACAGTTATGTGGAAAGAGAGCTTCTCCAGTTCATGGCCTTCCTGATAAAGTGTTATTTGAACAAGCAGTTCCTGGTGAATGTCGATCTGAGAAAGTCATGCATAATGAGCAAAATCAGCACAGGTCACCTCTGCTTCAGGCTTCTTTAGTCTGGAGGGCATGCCCTAACTTCATGCCTCTTTGATTGTTGGCATGAGATACTGAAGTTATTTTGCAGTTCTTAGTATGTATCTGAAGATGACAAAGTAAGAAATTAGCCTACAATTATTGTTTCAAAATGTAAGTCACAGTCCTTTAGTGAACAGTGAAATGACTATTTACTGGGTCTTGGGTACCATTAAAAATGAAATACAGAGCTGAGATTGGTGATACACACCTTTAATTCCAGCACTTTTAGAGGGTGAGGCAAAAGGATCAAAATCTAGTGACTTAGCAACCGAGTGGTTAGTGAGACCCTATCTCAAATTAAAAAGGCCTGGGGATGTAACTCATTATAAAGAACTTGGGTTCAAACCCTTGTATCAAGGGCAAAACAAAATAACAACAAAAAACAAATAAAACTAAAACTGAAAACCAATGGTAGCTTATAGTAGAAAAGAATATAGAATGTTTTGTATATCATAATAAGTATTATTTCAAGAAACTCTTGTTTCAATGTTGTATGTATGGGGGGATAATATGTGACACTTATTTTTCAATATATTTTCAAAAATGTTTGAACCTTACTGACTTTGTGTTCATGAACAACAGCACTATAATAGAGTATGATGAAAAAGAGAAAAACACTCAAACTGTTGATAGATAATCGGACAATTTGATTTGTAGTCCAGCTGTGATGACATTACTAAGTAGCTGAGTGGCTATGACCATTCATTTTTCTCAACTACAGAATTAGCTTATTCAGTTAGATGCTCTCCAAGAACATCTGCAGCTAGGAAATTCAGACCTATTCTTACTTTTACCTGAGTGGCTGACATGGTGTTGAGTGGAGTTATGCAGAGATTGAGCATGAGCAAAAGCATTTTCTTTGCTTGGTTCTATTGTCTTTTAGCCAGAAGGGGTGAACTACAGCCTCTATTTTATTTCAGTAGATGGACAGGAAGACTAATAATATTCCCTATAGGTTTTTAAAAACCTCTACATTGAGAACCCAAAGATTTTTGTATTGATTTTTGTATCTGGCTAATAAAACTTGTGGTAGCCACAGCCAATATATTTTAGTGGGTTTTTTTTTTCACTCTTATGTACCTGTCACTCATGGAGGTTGGATCAGCAGGCTATTAGTTTGCCCAATGTGTAATCTCAAGCCCCATGGAACAAGGGCTCACAGCCACTAGATTTTCTAACGGTGGAATTTACTTTTCATTTTTATTCATAGAGCACTGTCAGCCGTGCCTTTAATACTAAAGTGAAAACATAACTGTCTGGTAATGAATTTGAAATCTCTTAAGGAGAACATATTTTAATGTATCCTGCTAGTGTTAGAAAAATACATCGCTGTGTATCAAAAATATCAAATTCTATTTTTTCAATTAAGTTTATGATATTTTAAATGGTAGTTATTATACTTTGTCACTAGATCAAATGGTTAGGATTTATTTTAATATTTCACATCTGTTTTCTTTTATTTCAAAAGAAGATACTTCCTCTTCAGAAGTAGGGGATGGATGAACAGCAGGAAGAAAAAAAAACTTATTACCTGGAGCATAAGAAATATTGTGCCAGTGCCCTTTAAGTATGTGGTGGGGAGGCAATTCTTTTGTCACCATTTAAATGTCCCTTAAATTGAGTTTTTGTATGCTAATGAAAATAAATCCTAGTCACTGTCTCTCACTCAGCCTCCATCATGCAAAATCTATGATTTGAAAACACAGTTGGGTTTATGTTCTTCGAGGAGCTTTACTTGTATGCGGCACCCTATTTCTAAAGGTAAAATGTCTTACATTTTATATATTTTGGCACTTTGTTTGATTTCCTCCTTTTTTTCTTACACTTGACACAGGTGTCAGAAGTTATCAACTAAAAAATCATGTATCCACCACACTCAAAGAAATCATGCATTTAATCCTGAAGTATTCAGAGGATAAAAACATAGCAGCTTGTTCCGTCACACAATATTGTTCAATTAGTTTTTTCCTTCTTGTCCAAGTCAGACAACTTTTATTCTAAATAAAAGTTATCAGCTTCTCATGCTTAGCAATTTCCTATGCAGACATCTGTGATATATTATGAAGTTTAAAAAGCATAGATCCAAATTTCATTCCAAAGCAATGCTTCAACTGATTATTGTGGTAAAAAAATCTCTTTATCTGGGAATTGGATGCTAGCCTCCAAGTTTGGTGTCAGAAATAATAATAAAAATGGTTACAAGATCCTGTCCTAAAATAATAGACTATCAGAAGTGAGACAATAGCAGATAAAGCAACATATCTCCCCTCTGCAGGTCTAGATTTAATCTTATGAATACAGTGTATTTATTACTACAGCACTTTTCAATGTGTTATCGATCAGTTAACAGGAGGCTACTATTCTTAGTTACACATAAATACTTTGAAACACAGTGCTTTGCCTGATGAAAAAAAATTTTTTAAATGGTATACTTGGTAAATTTTCCACAAGTTCTAAAGCTACAAATAAAGAAAATCCCAGTTACGTTTAAAACTACTTTTCCTTGTATTAGACTAGAAAACCTCTAATAGCTTTTCAGTGTGATTGTCTAATATTTTATTCAGGTCTTGCTTAGAAACACATTGAAATCATTATCTGACTTTTAAAAAAGAAGTTCTTTTTCCAATTAAAAATAAACCCATTGGCACACCCTAGCTCTTATTTCTTTTGCCTACAAATGCTAATTTGACTTTCAGATTAGGGTATAAAAGATATCAACCATAGAAATGGGATGTTCCTGGAAGTTACTCTTAAAAGTTGGTTGAGATAATATTTAGCCACAAAATTAGCCTTTGTGTTTTTATAACATGGTCACCAAAACAACCAAAGAATACATAGCACCTAGTGCCTAGCATTGTACTTTGTATTTTCCAGGGATCATTCATTTTCTTTGGAATAGTGATGAAAAAAATTCTTCAAGTGAGAAGCTCATAAAACATATCACGTTAAAATGAAAGTTTCCAGATGTTACTTCTGGAAATTCTAAGATAACACAATTTGTCACACATGGGCAAGTCTATTCAAGTGAACTGTGAGATCATAAGATCTGAATTATTTGTAGATATGTTAAACCTTAGCATGGTAGTCAGTCCTTTGCAGTTAGAAGGCACTAGGAATAAATTTTAGCTCTGAAGTGTTAGTCCTAAAGCAGTAAAGCAAAACAGATGATTAATATATTTTGTAGCATTTATTGGACACTGGTGGAATTCCAAGCACAAATTGTCAAGATTTCTTTCATTAATGATACCTGACCTTGAATATGCCCCCACCCCATTTAACTGGATGTTTTTGTGTCAAATTCAAGAGTCAAAAAAAAAAAAAATGCAAAAAAAAAAAAGAAAAAGAAAAAAAAATGCAACACAAGTTTTCTTGACTATTGCTTTGCCAAAACAGAATTCACAGTATGTATTTCGGAGATAATTTTATAGTTTGCAATGACACAATCTTGTATTTTTTCAGATTTAAAAGATGGGTACATGTGTCTGAGAAGACCAAGAGAGCACTAAGTAAGTGTAAGGTTGTTCTAGCGTGAAGATTCAGCTTTGCTTCAGCAGACAGATGCTTTTGTAAGATCGACTGTACCATGTAATTCCTGAACTTATTTTCTATTTTCTTCCCATATGGGTTCATGTCTATGGCCTAAAGATATACTGCAATTTTTCCATCTCATCTCATACTTGATGGAATAAGACTGGAATAGCTCTATTAAGCTTTGTTAAAAATTTTTGGAATCTTAGAAAAATATAATATTTCAATATGACTTTACAGGCACACAAAAAATTCCAAATCAGCCCATCAATCACTGAACACATTTTAATGGCTTTCTGAACAAGTATCAAAATAACATTTATAACCAAGTATATTCAGTGAATTTGATTTTGAACTTCTGATTATTTTAAGAATCAAAATAAAATGGAAGATATTTGAAAAATAAATAGATGCATAAAAATTAAATGAATTACTGGGTGAACACATGTTTTGAAGAGATACTTGGGCAAATATTTATGTTTAATATTATGTTAGTTATATATATTTAAAATATGTTCGTCAGTTTATTCTGCAACTTTTCTTCCTTTGTAGCACACTGGAGATGTAGAGTGCTACGAAAATATCCTAAAATTCCTTCATAGTGATCTTAATTATATTTTATAAATTATTTTTTCTTTTTGTATCCTGTTAATAACATCCCATTAATTAACAATTTGAGGGCAGCAGGCCACTTTATTAATAACATTATCACTGGCAGTTGAGTTATTTACAGTATAATGTTAATCTTGGTCCCCTTTTTATTTTAAATAAAAAAATGTGTTAATGATTTATAAAAATATAAGGAAATTATAAAATTATTCAATGTGCTATAAACTCCAAAATCATTACTGACATTTTACAAATGTACTTGAATGAGAGAATAATTATAACTCAATTGCTCTTTGTCTCTTATAATATGTGTTGTCCTGTAGTCTGGTAGAAAAACTAAATAATACAATATAAACAAAGGAAAAGGGAGAATTCAGCTGCTCATGAGATGATGAGCACTTCATTTCAGGAATACTTGAACAGAAGCTTGCTGATTTCTCGGAAGCAGTGTGGTAGGAAGGAGTGTTGATGAGATAGAAGAGAGAATATGTGTCTAGGTCCTTCCATTTTTGAATTTCCATAATCCTTACCAGCTCCATATTTCCTACAGAGGTAATTGTTATCTCCTACTGATGGTCTATCAAGAAAGTCGATGACTAAAAATGAATTGAAACAGGAAGCTTTGGCCTTACACAGGTGGGGTAGGGGATTTTTTCCCAGGGCATAATTGGTTTGAATGTCTTCATACACAAACAAGAAACACCAGGAAGAAAAAGTTCACCAAAGGAATAAGGAAATTTATTGTGTCACAGTAAAAATTCTGTCGATAGCTTTTTCATGGTTTCATGGTTTGTTTTGCAGCACAAGAAGCCCTCACCCACCCAAGCCCCTTCTATCTTTCTGAGTTGTCATCTACAGTGCATCCTCGGTCTGCTTCCTGGCCGGAAGACTACAGACTGAGCTCTCAGCATCAGACCTCTTCGTACAAAGTGTCAAAGATAGAAGGGTTGAGGCTGGAGTGGGTTATGGAGCGACAAAGCTTCTATCCTAGCAGATATCCTTTTATGAGAGAGAAAAGTGTTTCTATGTGCCCTCTAGTAGACAGTCCGTTCTGGCTTCCAGGAAAAATAGGAATTAAATATATTAAAAATCTAGCATCTTTGCCCTCAGAGCTTTTGGGCTTTGACATTGAGGAAGAGAGGATTGGAAATAGCTGTGCAGTAGGGGACAAAGTGTCTTTGACAAATTGCAAGAGTACTGCTGCTCTCACCAAAGGGGTTCTCAATGTATTTCCTAATCATAGTCTTCTTTTACTGATGCCAATAAATATATATTATTTATTTCATTCCAAGAGCATGGAGTTTAAATAGACAACTGTCAAGACAGAGCAAACACCCCAGAAATAAACTTAGAGCAATTGATGGTACCCTCTTTTGTTTATATAGTTCTTAGCTAAATAGTATCCCTGCCAGAGCTGTGCTTCAGTTTGTTCCAGTGATTTCTTCATTCCTTGTGGAGTCTATAGGTGGATAGGGGGTTCTCTTCAACACACAGCTGTTTCATAGTCATTCTTCACATCTTACCTTTCACTCCTTGCATTGCTTAAGTCTTTGCCTCTCTGTTCTCCTTTTTGCCTCTGTCAGATAATCAAAACTAGTGCTAATTGGCACCTGCCTCACAAGTGCAAGGAACCGAGTTCGATCCCTTGTACCAAAAAAAAAAAGCTCAAAAAAAACCTAGTGCTAAAAAAACTAAGATCCACAGGTATTTATAGAGGAGGACTGGCAGAGCAAGGAGGACATGGAGATATGTTAATATGGAGCTTTTAGAGCAAGAATCCTGCTCCCCGTTCCCCAGCATGAGACAGCTATGCACCCTTTGGTTGAAACTGGAGAAAACTAGAGCCAGTGGGTGAGGTGGTGACTGACAGGTGCCACCTTTATTAACTGAGCCAAAAATAAGTGAGGAAAATAAAAGAAGGGGAGGGAGCAGGACTGCAATGACCGATGGTTGAATGAGCTAGGGCTTATTTGCTAGGAGACAAGAGGGCTCTTGGTATGTTCCCAGCATGAGGGAATCAGCACGCATGAAATAGAAGAGAGCTGGCAATGAGGTGATTTAAGTGGGTGAGACAAATAAAACTCCACTGTCCCTTCCTGGGGTACATGGCTTTCTAACTATTAAAATGTTTTGAGTGGAATTTTAGGGGATCTCTCACCTGAACTTTGATAACTCACAAGGATAGTCACGACTTACCAAGAGGAAGTTGCCAAACAAACCAACAAACCCAATGTTCTTTAAAGATTTTACTGGAAGGATCAGCTCCTGTCTTTGATAAAAGCCCAGTTCACTATCTGAGTGTAATCCCTGCCTCTCCTCGTGGAACCATTATGAGCATTTCTTGTAGTGGCTCATAAAATATGTTCTTTTCAGTCAGGCTGCATAGCCCGCTCTCCCACCCAACACAACTCTCTGATAATTAAAATAAATAGAATTTTAGAACAAGTTCTTAGGTCTGTGCACAATGCCTGATTCAGGAAAATATTGTTCTGGAATTGCATTGTGTGTTGGATTTCTGAGATAAACCATCTGTGCCGGAATTATATTAATTCCAGTTGATGCTATTTTCTAATAAGAATAAACTATTTAAATATTTTAGTAATCAGTACTGCCCTAATAGTAAATACTGGCTAACCAATAGCCATAGTTCTATCCTATGTCAATAGTACTATCCATATTCTGGTTTCCTCTGTGAAAACAAAATATATATATTAGAGACTCCTCTTACAAAATATTATATTTTCCATGACTAATAATATATTTCTGGATTTCTACACTTTCACATTTCTTTTCAGGTGTTTATAGATAAGTAATGAGATCTTAACTTTATAGGTAAAAAGGATTATTAGTTTTGAGGTAATCTGTGTCATTAACAACTTCATGAAAAGCTACAGTTGTACACACTTGTTGAAGAGGAATGAGGTACTGTACTAGATGCTTTATTGGCTTGATAGGATTTTTCTTGAATTTCATTTAATTCCATAATCTTTGACCAAAGTCTGGTTATGGAATAACAAATGTGACATTGTCTTATGACTTCCACTGCAATATGTACAATTTGTATAAACATAAGCCAATGTTTGGCTTTGGAAAGACTTTGTACAAACATAAGCTAGTGTTTGGTCTGGAAAGCCAGTTTGTACAAACATAGACACCCACCCACACAAATTGTAACTCCATTCCAAAATATGCACAACCCAAGGGAAAAGAATAAAGTGTGGTGGAAGGACTATAACCTTGAGCCACAGAGAGAACCAAAGTGAATTCTGCCTCTGCCACTTTCTTACTCTGTGAATTTAGAGTTTATTTAAATCATATCAACCACACTTTCTCAATCATTTCCTTATTCAATATTTTTGAATAGCTTGCTTAAGACAAAAGGTCAGGAGGCATCATGGGAAGATCATGGACCAAGAATTGAAATGAATATTTATATCTGTACACCACCTGAAATAAAGACTGCAGACCAAGAAAGGAAAGAAAGGCTTTAGTCTAACATATTAATGGACAGTGATCAGCTTTGTATTACTGAGTTAACAGTATGTGAAAGGTTAGGAGACTCTAATTCTGCACCCTTTTCTTCATTTACACAAATAAGTTTAGTGAAATGAGTTAACTTCTTTACACTTCTAGGTCTACTTCCCCACGAGTCATTTTGACTTTAAACTAGATGAAGGGACTCCTTATTCCTGATCTCTTTTTCAAGTGCTCTGCTTTTGCTGCTCTTTTGCTTCAGCTCATTTTTCACTCTATTCTTTTCTTCCTTTGAAGCTTTCCTAGTAAAAGAGTTTTTGAATTTAGCTATTTTCTCCTCTAACATGATTCAGTTATATTTTTTCCTCTGTTCAGGAGTCTTTTATACACTGTCTGGAACTACTGCTGCTTCCAATATCACTTCCACATTCACCAGCCACTCTAGCAAAGTTAGGAAGGCAGAGCAAGAACAACAAAATAGCATTTATGCACATGTAGCCTTCATATTTAAGTCTAGAGATCATCCTATTTTTGAATGGCTTAAAGTTAAATTAATAAAACTGTATTTGTCTTCTCAGTTTTTAAAACAAAAATATATACTATATCATAAAAGCTGCTGACACTGAGCCGTGATGGAATAACGAAAGTTCCAGCGCTAATGAAAGTGGCTGTAACTCAAGCTGTGTGATGCCTGGTGCCCATCGACATCCTTGGCAAAGGTATGGGGGTCCAAATCACAGACCTACAGTGTGTCTCTGTGTGAACTGACATGTATGGAAGTGTGGAAGGCTAAGAGTGAGCATATACAGAAGCAGAATGTGAAACGGTTTGAGTCAATGAAGGAGAACTTGGATATTCCTAGTTAAAATTCTGAAAGGTCAATTTTGGATATATAAATGCTCGTGTATGAAATGCTCTATCAAGGGAGGAAAAGGAGTGATGTAAAAATCAAATTATAGCTAAAGTCAGATCTCATTTCCAGAAATTATATCTTACTTTTTTTAACCAAATGTTTACACTCTATTTGGCACTAAAGATCATGTTAAAAGTTCTTATATTTGAAAATATCTAGGTGAAGGGCATAGTGGAGAAGGATTATGTTATGTATTGGATCAATAAAGGCAGATAATTTACTATCATGAAGGCAGACTATATTTTTAAAAAATGAAGTCTTTATTTAAAAACAAAAAACAAAAAACAGAGGCTGGAGGAAACCTTGGGCGTTCTTATATGTATCTCAGCCTTTTACTGACTAGTATCCATGTTTTGTGTTACTGATACATACTAATTTCATGAGCAATAGGTCTTGGGGGATGCTACTGAAGCCATGATAGAGCAAGTGGTCCTAGAGTAGCCCACGCACCATAAATATCCATCACAATGCACACAACATAGGGAACAACTATTTTAGATATTCAACAAGGATAAACAAAGGATAGTGCTGTGAGAGAGAAAGAAAGGAAATACTTTGCCACCATGACTTTCTGTCTGGAGGTAGTTTCCTGATTGCAAAGCAGAAAGATGGAGGCCATGTAGAGCTTGCTCAGTTAGGAGGAAGACATTAAGGAGTGGTGTGAAAAGGAAACTGCTTAGGAATCTTTTTAAGTGTTTGGCTAAATATTAAGCTCTGAGTACACAAGGAAAGACTCAGTAAAGCTGTGCAGATATATATACAGATCTTAGAAGTCACACATTTCTGGAGACATAGGAGTTGGGAAGAGTTGGGTCCTTTCTACACACTTTCCATACAGGTCCTTGAAAGTTGACATATTGAAAGTTTGGCAACTCTGGATTTAGAATAAGGAATAATGTAGGATAATATAGACCTACCTTAACAATCAGGGTGCTCTACTATTAAACTGAATTCCTGACAGAATAATACTTTGCATTCTTTAAAGGAAGAAGACAAAATCTTGACTAAAAAACATAATATCCACAATATTTAGCATAAAATAAAGCCTTACTGCCCAGTCATAGAAGCAAGAAATCATGTAGTCGAAAACTAGGGGAAACAAAAAGTAATATAGACATACCCAGTGATGAGAGAGATACTGAAATTATCCTAAAAAGCTTAAAACAGCAATTTAAATGTTTAAGAATTTAAAAGAAAGATAAATATGTCAAATAAATACATGGGAAATCTTGGGAGAAAAATAGAAACTATTAAAAATGGAAAACCTGGAACTGAAAAATGCAGTAACTGAGATGAAAAATTGATAATATATACTGCATAAATATTGACAAATTCTGCTCAGCAAAACCCAAGCCTGGGAGAAAATATTTGCTATATTATCTGACAGTGGACTTATGTCAGACTATGTAAAGAACTTTCATAAATCAATTTTCAAAAAACTAACTACAGAATATTTAAATAAATGGATAAAAGACTTGGAAGGCACTTATAAGGGAAGATAAATAACACTTAAAACATATTTAATGTCATTTGTCATTAGGCTTATAAAAATTGAAACCACAATGAGTTATTAGTACATACTTCTATAATAACTAAGTTTTAAAAGGCAAGCAGAGTAAATATTGATACATATTTATAACAATAGGAAACCTTGTTCATTGGAAAAAGTGTGGAAAACTGAGTCACCTAATTTGGAAATCCATTTGACAGTATCATTTAAAGCTATCAATAACTGTGGTATGATGTAGCAATTCTGCTAAATATTTATCCAGAGAAATGAAAATATACATTGATAAAATACTTGTTCAAGAATGTTCACAGCAATTTCATTTGTAAACTTCCAAACTAGAAACTATCCAAATGTTTCCCAAGAAGGAATGGCTGAACACCTCCAATGTTTACAATAAAACACTGCTTGGTAATAAAATGAAAGAAATACTGGTATACATAAAGATATAGATTACTTTGAGAACCATCAGCCTGAATTAAAGAAATCAATCACAAAAGTATCTATTTATACCTTTTATGATTTTAGAACAGGCAAAACTTATCCATTGCAAAAGAATCATAGCAGGGATTGGCTGTTCCCAGTGAGGTCCAGGCTGTAGAAGGATGAGTGGTAAGGTGTGTGCAGGAATGCTCTGGGATGATAAAAATGTTCTTTATTCTAAAAAAAATTTATGTATTACACAAGTCAGTGTATCTATATTTATGTTCTGTGTAATTTAATGTATTAAAATTATATTTCACTTTAAAGTAGCTGTACATTCTGGATCACTCAACTCTTTATTCTTTGTAATTTCAGATGAATTTTGCACTTACCTATGTATTCTGTCTGGGGTTTGAAATCTGTAAGCCAAGCAGCATATCTTAATTTTTTTCATGAATTTTGTTGGTACATTTTAGGTATACAATATGCTGATGTTCATTAAAATTTAGACCTTTACATAATATATCTTGGTTCTAATTTTTTCCCCCATTCGCCTGCCCTCCCTTCAACCCCTCCACCCCTCCCTATTTACAAAGACTTGGTTTCCATTTTTTCCTTTTCTCATATTTTTTCCTTTCCCTTCTTTCCTTTCCCCTCCCCCTCACATTATCTATTATACATTTTGATCCTTATTTACACTTTCAGTTTCTCACACCAAAGAAACTATTCAGTATTTACATGTGTGTCCTATTTATTTCACTTAAGAGTATCACCATAATGTGCATCCATTTAGCTAAAAATGTCTCTAATTTCTCAATTTTTATGGCTGAGTAGTACTCCATTTTATGAAAAAAACACATTTTCTTTATCCAGTCTCCAGTTGATGGGCAATTGGGCTGCTTGCAAGATTTAGCTGTTACAAACTGTGCTGCTATGAACATGGATGCACATATATCACTGTGGTATGATTCTTTTAATTCTTTGGGAAAGATACCCAGCAGGGTAATAGCTGGCTCAAATGGGACTTCTAGTCCTAGTTCTTTAAGATATCTCCATTCTGATTTCCACAGTGGTTGCCCAGGAGTGGAGCAGGGTTCCTCTTTCCCCACAGCCCTGCCAGCATTTGTTATTGGTTGATTTCATGATAGCAGCCATTCTTTCTGGAGTGAGGTGGAATCTCAGCGTTGTTTTCATTTGCATCTCTCCAATGACCAATGATGTTGAACATTTTTTCATATGCTTATTTGCTACTTCTACTTCTTGTCTGAGAAATGTCTGTTCATTTCAAATGCCCATTTTTGGACTGGATCTTTACATTTGGGAGGTCTGATTTTTTTAAATTTATTTGTATATTCTAGATAGTAGACCTCTGTCTGAAGAACTGCTGGTGAAAATTTTTTTCCCACATTGTGGGTTGTCTCTTCAAGCTGTTGGTGGTTTCTCTTGCTGTGCAGAAGCTTTTCAATAAGATGAGATCCTATTTGATCCTTTGTGCTAGTTCACATGTGACTGAGGTTTTGTTTATGAAATCTTTTCCTACACCAATGTCTTCAAGAGTTCTACCTAACTCCTCTTATAGCTGGTTTAGTGTTTCAGTTTTAATATTTAGATCTTTGATACATTTTGATTTGAGTTTAGTTCATGATGAGAGACATAGGTCTAGTTTTAATCTTTGACAAGTTGAAACCCAATTTTTCCAGCACCATTTATTAGAGAGGCTATCTTTCCTCCAGTCTACTGTTTGGCTCCTTTCTCAAAGATGAGGTATCTGAGTGTGTCTGGAGTTGTTTCTGCATCTTCTAATTGTTCCACTGGTCCCTGGGTCTGTTTCTTTGCCAGTACCATGCTGTTTTATCACAGTAGCTTTATACTATAGTTTCAAGTTGGGAATTGCAGTACCCCCTGCCTTGTCTTTGTTGCCTAGAATTGCTTTTGCTATTCTAGGTCTCTTCTTGTTCCAAATGAATTTTGAATTTTTTCTCAAGGTCTGTGAAGTGTGCTATTGGAATTTTAATTGGGGTTGGATTGAATCTATATAGCAGTTTTGGAAGTATGGCCATTTTCAATGTATTGGTTCTTCCCACCCAGGAGCAAGGGATGTCTTTCCATTTTCTGATATCCTCTTTGATCTCTTTTGTCAGAGTGCTGTTGTTTTCAGAGTAGAGGTCTTTGACTTATTTTGTTAGGTTGAACCTAAGTATTTTTTTTTTTTTTGGTACCACGAATTGAGCTCAGGACCTTGCAGTTGTGAGGCAGGTGCAATGCCACTGAGCTAAACTCCCAGCCTGGTATTTTTTGGATGCTATCATCAAAGGAATTGTTTCTCCAGTTCCTCTTTCAGTGAGTCTGTTATTTATGTACAGGAAGGCTATTGATATTTGTGTGTTGACCTTGTATCCAGCTACTCTTCTGAGTTTGGTTAAGTCTAGAACATTTTTGGTGGAGTTTTTTTAGTCTTCTATGTAGAGTATCATGTCATCTGCAAATAATGACAATTTAACTTCTTCATTTCCTATCTTTATTCTTTTTATTTCTTTCTCTTGTCTCATTGCTGTGGCTAATGTTTCCAGAACTATATTGAACAAGAGTGGTGATAGTGGACATCCTTGTCTTGTTCCTGATTTTAGTGTGAAGGATTTCAGTTTAGTATGATATTGGCTGTTGGTTTTTCATAGATGGCTTTTATCAGATTGAGGTAGAGACTGTCTATCCCAATTTCTTTAGGGTTTTTATTGTGAATGGGTGTTGGATTATGTTCAACACTTTTTCTGCATCTATTGAGCTAATCATATGTTTTTTGTCCTTGGTTCTATTAATGTAGTGTATTACATTTATTGTTTTGCATATGTTGAACCATCCCTGCATTCCTGGGATGA